ACTTCTAACTGCCGGAACACAACAATGCTGTACAGTTTCGACATAAAGTAATAATAAAAATTAAATACAACCCACATTTATTTTGTAACTTTTCTTTAATTTGTGAAAATAAGGTTTTATGGTTTATTTCACAAAATCATGTGTTGTAAATTTTATTAATGCCCTTCATTCGCCCACCTGTAAAACACGACTCTACACGTGCAAAGTCACGGGAAAAAGCTTATTAATCATAATTGTAAGTTAATGAAATATTAACAAAGATAATAGCCGTAGAATTAGGGTAATATATTCTGGCACGCGCCGACAGAAGACTGGAAGGCCGTGTTCACAGTTTAGCATTGACTCAATACAATAATTGTACATTTGCACGCGAGCGGCGGAGTGCAAAGTGATGTAACTTCTTGTCCGGCTATTTTTAGAATCAGTACCTATTTACTATTTAGCTCAAAAGTGGATTTAATATGGAACACAGATTGAAGCCTTTGATTGTTGATTTCAGAGCTATATTCTATTATAAAATTGACCTAGAATTAAGATTTAATATGTTATCATTATAACGTTTAAAAATATTGCGGAGTAGGAAATTATCCAGCTACTTCTGCAGAAAAGATACAATTTTATGGAAATAAAGGAATCTGTAAACTTCTTTTAGTCTTTCTTTAGTTACTTGGCTAAAATATTGCCTATTTTTATTTTAATCTATTTTTTATTGAAATGAAAATATCTAGGCCATATATTTTGGTAAAATTAGTTGGGCCATTATCCACACTAGTTGCCAAACCGAAATTATAGACACGTAACATAATAATATGGTCTAGTAGCGGCGTCATAATTACTGGCCATCAACTGGCGCGGCAAACGCTTTGGATGGCGTGACTGGCCAAATGTATACGTGACAAGGACGTAATATTGCTACTTAGAGGCTAGTGCACTTACAAAGTTGACAGCCTTTTAATTAAAAGTATTGTACTGCTTAATAAATGCGTATTAAGTAGGATATAAGCCATAACAGGCCTAGATTCTTATTTGATTTCAAAAAAGAAGTTGTTAGGTGGAGTAGGTACCAAGTTACAACCCCATGGTGGGTTACCATGGGGTTCATACTACAAGTACTTACCTAAAGTACTCATAGTATTATGAACCATGGTAAGTTTCAATCAGGTGAGATGCAGGCCATGAGCTTCCTCGTTATGGATAAAAAAGTACTTTGTCCTAATGAAAATAACGCAGTAATTTTCGTTCTTTTTAGCGCACTTATTAATTTAATATTATAATTGTGAACGAGTCTTTACAGAATTAAGGTCTAAAGTTATCTAAAACTTTAGGGTAGCTCAAATACCAATAACATAAATACCAAACGGGTGTTTAGTCCATACCGATATTTATTTATTTTATGTTTATTTTATTTGTTTAACAATGTTTCAACAACATTAAATTGTACATAAATGATATCAAATCAAAATAATTTTACAAAATATATGTTGGCACATTTTTCAGCAATGTAATTTCACCTAGGCCTCACTGCATTGAAAAATTGACGCCCAACAGCGTTCCTATTCCACATAATACATAAATAATACTGTACATGAGTCTATACACATACATAATATACGATACAATATGTAATCCGGGCGTCGGGGATAGTATCAATCTTCATTTATTAAGATATATTGCACGGGGCATGTTCGTGCTGGTAATAGTGACGCGTGAAACAGCCAAGGCAAATCAAATTATCGTATAGCTACTGTATTCATTGTTATTGAATAAAATTTGCTTTACAAATAATGTAAGAGCAAGTTTTTAACTTTTTATTTACGAACAGGAAATAGCGTGTTATATTTACGTTGGTTGTGGGAACAAAAGTCCAATTTTATGTCCTTTATACACGAGACTGCTTACACAAACTTTTGGACCATATTTTGCTTTAATAAAGATAAGAGTGTAAAGGTATTGTAGCTCAAAGTAAAATATTGTTACAATACCTATTTCATAGTGTTATTAAATAATTTCTGCAAGCGCCACAATAACTGGGAAATAAACTCAATTCTACGTGTGGTTTTGGAATTTGAAACGTTCACGGAATCGCTTTGATACACCATGCAAGGTGACAAGTAGGTATGGAGCGCTGTGGGTACAAATAGGTACAAATTGTACACTGAGTAGCAAATTTATGAGCACGTATGCTCTTATTCTGAAAAGACGCCGACGCCTGGATTTACAGTACAAATGCAATTTCAAATTCAAGCCTCTAGTTAAATACTAGTCTGAATATTGCGATTTTATCAATTTTAAGCTGAAATTCTCTTTTAAAACTTAGCACAATTACAACTCTTTAGTTGATCATTCTCTACTTATTTCTATTATAGCCATGAACTTTTGTTTATTTGCCACCGTGGGCAACAAATTAAGACTTAATCTTTGAGAATTTTGTCATGTCATTCGATTAAACGGTCTAAATTAATTGAATGAATTATTTATATCAAAGATTTCAGAAACTGAAAATGTTGACCGATTTATTTGCCATCAAGTGTATTCACCTGAACACAGTGTTTCACACAGTGAGCAAATTTATTATGTAAAAGGTTTCGTTTGGTTGTTAATTTACGCCGTAACGACATTAAAGTAACGAAATGGTTTTGCTCCATCAATTAATTAATTTAAACCCGTGTGGATGTATTTAGGTATACACAAGCTATTATTGCGTTAATGAAATACCAAGTTTTGAGACAATAGTTTAGTAGGGGAGTTGTAATAGAGGAGAGTTGTGCCATTGTAGATTTTTGTGAACTTATTAACCACTAGCGAGCTCGTAACCACGGTAATACCAGGCCTCCGTCACTCGCCTATGCCGGCCGAGATAATTACCTACAGCGCGCGACAACTTCAAGTTGCAAATCAGTCCGGGCCGCCACGCGCCTGTTTGCACACGCGTATCTATACACGCTCGGTCGATCATAGTCGCAATCAAGGTTTATTGTTCCAACAGCACTGTTATTCTTCTTTTATTGAAAAATTGTAATATTTAGGAATAATAATTAACTGTAGTGATTTAAATAATAAAAAAAACTACACTTTTTAAATAATAAATTATTTTGAAATACTTATGACAAAAAACTATAGCAAAAAAATTATTTTAGCTAATAAAAACATTAACTTTACTTCACCGTGTCTATTTTCCGACACTACACCTTTTAAAACTGTTTGTTTAATTTCGAATTATCGCAACACTGAAGTTTATTAATAGGTACTTTAGAGATGGTACGATTATACAAACTCCACTAGATTAAAGTTTTCTAATCGTAAATACAATAAATGCTTCTTAAAATTAAGTTTTTATTTATTTTACTTTGCTCATACAACCCTGACGCTTGAGCGGTGACGTAGATCAATTCTAAACACAAAAAAAATGCGCTCTTGTGAGCGTAGTAGTAAGGTGAGATTTCGAATGCACCATGTGCGTTGGATATTTTGCATTATTATTATTACCGTTAAAATGTCGGCATCTGATCCTACACAAAGGAGTGCAATTTCTGTTGCTACTATTATGTATTCTGTGGTAATACTATCTATACAGTATTCCAACTCGGCCATATTTTTGAAATAAATGTCAACAGCCCCGCGGTACGTCACGGTATGACAACCTGCGATAGGGCTGCTCACCTACAGTACCCATTCTAATTACATCTGTCTACTTAGAATTTCTATCTAGTTTTGTGATTGTAATTTTTTTTATTTAGACAAACAAAATACTTTGTGAATGGAATTTAATAAAAATGCGTGTTGTTTTGTGATTAGTAGATTTAATTTTAAAAAATATACTAAAATAATTTTGAATCTACTAATCATAATGAGGTCATTAAGACCTGTTACTTTAATTTCAGGCGGGTGAAATCGTTGGCAAAAGCTTGTTTTATACAATATACAATTTTCATTTCAAATCAAACTGACTGAAAATGACCATTTCTGACAGTTAATGACTAGTTTTTGTCAAATTTGACCGTAAATGACTGTCAGTCAAATTCAATCACCCTACTCATTTTCGACATTAGGCCATCGACGTCCGTTCGGCACATTCGCGACACCCCTAATTTTTTCATCTCAACCACGTCCCGAGATTTGAAATTCGAAGGAAAGCTCGCGTTTCGTCGGTTTATATGAAGTTACAATACTGTATGATATTATTACCGTGTCGTAACACGTTTTTAGTTATAATCTCGAGCTGACAAATACGCGCTGTTGCGAGCTGACAGTTACTAGGTTTCCAAAAATCAACAATGTCACAACTCTCCTCTGTTACAACTCTCCTCGGTCTCCCCTAAGTGTCCGGAAAACTACTATCTTCATCCGGAGGTAAAAGGACATAAAGCCTATTAAATAAAACCAGTACTATTAAAGTCTAGGAACTAGGAACTCTACAAAAATACACGGTCGTTCCCTCACCTCTCTCTCTTCTTTTTCTTTTAATAATTTTAGTTCTATCAGCGCTCTATTAAATTCCTAGATAAAGAACTGAAAAAACTCATCTAATGTGAAAATAGGTGACCTACTTAATGAAATTTGAGTATCAATTATAATGATCTTCATAAATTCAACTTCGTAACCAAAGTTTGACAAGTTTAATACAGTTAAAACCAAATTATTATTAATTATACTTAGACGGTATTGAGGCTAACCAAAACTCCATTTTTGTTGTGTAAATGGAAAAGTTACTTGTTTGTTTACAATTCAAAAGTTGAATTAAATTGTCTGTGATATTTTGGGCATGGCGTAAGTTAATTATTTTCCACGTGCCCTCATCTTAAAGGTCAATGTAAATAATTATTAACTCAGTACAACTAAATGAATAAGTAAATACATGACTATTTGGTGGCTGATACGCCCACCAGACTACTTTGTCAGAGGTCTCGGGTTCGATTTCACTAAAGAGCTGCCATTAGCATCTGATACAGCTTAGGGATTCGAGCCTCTATGTGCTTACTGAAGTAATTTGTACTACTTACTTGTTGTATCTTATCATAAAGTGACTCACTTTATGATTTTAAGTAGGGCGTGATTTGTTGTATCTTCAAAATTGAGTACGCAGTAATTACCTGAAACAAAAATAATAAAAAATTTTAAACAACAACCCAGAAGTAAAATACATCTCTATATTTTTAAAACTATCAACGTGTAGGCGTTTCAAAGCAAAAAAAAATGTTCATCCACAATTAAGTAAAATCCTGACAAAATTCGGTGAATCAAGATTCTTAATTAATTACGAATCTTTTTGTAATACTTTTACATTATTACGTTTGATCCGCAATTTTATTCAATTGGCTTCAGCAATAAGTCATGGTGAGTTACAATATTTATTAACTCCGATAAAATTATTTTGCGGTTTTACTGCATGAATACGTTGAAAGTTACGTTGTATAATGCGTTATAAATTTAACTCAGTAGGTACTTTTAATTAGGTGCTTTTTTCCTAAAATATTCAAATTCAAATTATTTATTGCATGTCACATGGGTAAGGGTTGACAAGAACATAATATTGAACATGTGACGCCCAGTGAAGGCGTTGCAAAAACTTAAAAATAACATTAAAATAGAGAATTATTTGTCAAACTAAAATAAAATTAAATAAACATTAAAATTATAAAATTAAATAAACATTAAAATTATAAAATTAAATAAACATTAAAATTATAAAATTAAATATTATAAAATTTTACAATTACATTATTATTATTATTGTATAAACAAAGACAGACCATTACATAATATTTTCATTAAAAAATTCAGAGATGGAATAATAGCTTTTGAGAGTGAGAAACTTCTTTAATTGTTTTTCATATGATGATATTTTATCTATATTTTTAATTTCATTTGGGATGTGGTTATATATTTTTATTAACATTGAGTGTGGCGCGGAAGAGTATAATTCGAGTTTAGTAGTTGGCGCCTTCAGTTTGTTTTGAAATAAAAGTTCTCTTTAAGTTATTCGTTATAAAAATTAGTAATTTGTCTCTGAAAATTTCGTTAAAATTGGTCCAGCTGATTCGGTGATAACCTAGACTAACATTAATTAAAATTTTTTGAACCTACCTTCGTATAGCTGTTAATTTGACATTGCAAACAGACGTTTCAATTTGCACAGACTACAAATACTCGGGAGCCTGTGGTACCCAGTGTGCAGATGTAAATTATGAAAGCCAAAGCAATGCAGGTAAGGCCCTTCAAAATTAGTTTAAAGTTTTGTTTTAAAGTACGACATCGCTTTCCGTGGGCATAATAGCCGTTGTTATTTTGACATTACAAACAGACGTTTCAATTTGCATAGACTGCAAATACTCGGGAGCCTGTGGTACCCAGTGTGCACATGCAAGTTATGCAAGCCAACGCAATGCAGGTTACCGCAGCGCTGCGGAACTAATCGCACTGGATATGCACGAGAAGTTTCGTGTATTGTTGTTTCGCTATTCTCTTTTGACATTAAAAATCTGTATTAGGCGATCTTATACAGCGTAGGTTTTTTAAGGAATTCATGACACAATAAGGGAATAAGAATAGGATATTTGCCACCACCAATCAATTGACGTACTTTTTAAAATTGTCAAACGAGACTCCCATAGATTTTGTATTGAAATACTAGCCAGTGACGTCACTATTTTGTCAACTTAATTGAAATACTTTTTTCAATTACAATACAACCGAAAATATTAATTTTATAGGTAAATTTTAAAAATAATCAAGTTTTTAAGACCAGAATGAAGTGCCTTTTTAAGGGAGTGGTGGCAAATGCCCAATTTAATTTCTTTGATTCGGAACAACAATATTATGTTATGTGTGTGTGTAGCTGTCAACGTTAAATTGTGAACTTCGACAGTTTGTAAGTACCACGAGTGCCATGACTGTAGCAGTAGTAAATGTATGGAAGCTGGAAACATTGATTTTTCGGATAGATCCAGTTTATTTTATAACTTATTATTGGTACCGTTGGATAGAGCTCGTGAAGCACTTTCAGGATCAGTAACCAGTTTTTGGATATCTTGTATAGTTTTTAATATTATGTGATTTTACTAAATGTATGGAGACTGGAAACATTGAATTTTCAGATAGATCCAGTTTATTTTGTAACCTATTATTGGTACCGTTGGATAGAGCTCGTGAAGCACTTTCAGGATCAGTAACCAGTTTTGGATATCTTGTATAGTTTAGAAATAATCGAGTGAGATCACTTATTGTTTCCACCCTGTATATACCCTAAATAAAATAGTCTCGGTAAGTAAATAGGTAGCGTTGCTCTACAACTTTACCACTTTTATATTGATGAGAACTATCTATCTATCGACGACTCTACTCATGATATACAGTGTGTCCGGGCTTGTAGTGATCAAACTTTAAGGGCGTAATCTATGGACAATTTTATCGATGAAAATACTTCAAATTTGGGGCTTGACCCATTTCTCGCAAAATTACAAGGATTTAAGTTTTTAATTTTTAGTTTTCACCTCTTCCTTCAAAAACAAGTGAAAGCGTGGGTAGCTTAACACTAATAAGCAAAAATTTTATATCATGCGATAGCCAATAAAATTATCTATTAGCAGAAGTAGAAAACAGATACAAGTTTCATACATTTTAAGGGAGTAAGAATGGATTTAATTAGAAAAAAACATGACTTTTTTCACTTCTTTTTCAGTTATTTTCCAACACAAGAAAAACCAGGTCGTTAAGGTATGTTTTATTTGCATTGTATTATTAGTATTTGAGCTATTCTACAAAACGAATGTAAATTTATTAGTCTACGTCTATTAGTTTCGACGTAATTGTTGAACAAAGATACCCCTTCCCAGCGGTTTCCATAGCGCACGCGACATGCGAAAATGCACTGCCTGAAAGAATCACACAACCTATTCCGATTACTATGGAAACCGCTGGGAAGGGGTATCTTTGTTTAACAATTACGTCGAAACTAATAGACGTAGACTAATAAATTTACATTCGTTTTGTAGAATAGCTCAAATACTAATAATACAATGCAAATAAAACATACCTTAACGACCTGGTTTTTCTTGTGTTGAAAAATAACTGAAAAAGAAGTGAAAAAAATCATGTTTTTTTCTAATTAAATCGATTCTTACTCCCTTAAAATGTATGAAACTTGTATCTGTTTACTACTTTTGCTAATAGATAATTTTATTGGCTATCGCATGATATAAAATATTTGCTTATTAATGTTAAGCTACCCACGCTTTCACTTGTTTTTGAAGGAAGAGGTGAAAACTAAAAATTAAAAACTTAAATCCTCGTAATTTTGCGAGAAATGGGTCAAGCCCCAAATTTGAAGTATTTTCATCGATAAAATTGTCCATAGATTACGCCCTTAAAGTTTGATCACTACAAGCCCGGACACACTGTATAGTACATTCCTCAAATATGAGATTATTGTCATTATTTTTATCATGTTTATTTACCTACATTTGCATTATAGCGAGTTTAAAACTATTGAACAGTCAACAGCACATCAGCCTAAATATTTTGTTACAAAATAACACTTTATACATCGAAGTAAGATGCCACAGTATTAAGATTAATGTGCTGTCATCTTAGTCCAGTCAATAAAGCATTATAGATGGAAAACTGTAGAACACAATTTCTGACTTCAGGACTTTATTTAGACTAGTTAGGAGGTGAGCATAGCAAAAGTCCCCGCCCTTAGCCCTTGAGCCGGCGGGGAGAGGGGGGTTTAAAGGTGCCACTTTTCAGTTTTTCGCTTAATCCTCGGAAACTATGCGTCCTAGTGACATGACTACTTTGAACCAAAAAAAGCATATTCAATTTGCTACAGGTGAGATCGACAAGTTTTTCTATAAATTGTATAGTTTTCGCGCCATCTGCTCTAGAAGGTCTGTAATATTGGAAATTTTATTTTTATCTTACATGTTCCCATCAGGAGAAAATCGACTAAATCAACATTGAGCAATCATTCTAGACATGCGGGAGCATGTTAAGCCTAGTTCCAGCGAGGGGACTACTCTGTGTGTATATTTAGACGAATCACTTTGAGCTACTTTTGACTCCTCATCACTCAAAAACTACTGTGCATTAACACTTCAAATTTGGCTCATGTGTTGAGACTTACAAGATATACATCTGTTTCAAATTTCATAAATATGCCTCAAACGGTTCTTTAGATATTGAATCGATTTTTGAACGTCAATACCTAAATAACCGTTTGAGGTATATTTACGAAATTTGAAGCTGATGTATATCTTGCAAGTCTCAATACATGAGCCAAATTTGAAGAGTTAATGCACAGTAGTTTTTGAATGATGAGGAGTCAAAAGTGGCTCTAATTGGTTCGTCTAAATATACGCACGGTGTAGTCCCCTCCATGGAACTAGGCTTAACATGCTCCCGCATGTCTATAGTGTTTGCTCAATGTTGATTTAGTCGATGTTCTCCTGAAAGGAACATGTAAGACAACAATAAAATTTCCAATTTTACATACCTTCTAGAGCAGATGCCGCAAAAACTATACAAGATATAGAAAAACTTGACGGTCTCACCTGTAGCAAATTGAATAAGCTTTTTTTGGTTCATAGTAGTCATGTCACTAGGACGCATAGTTTCCGAGGATTAAGCGAAAAACCGAAAAGTGGTACCTTTAAACCCCCCTCTCCCCGCCGGCTCAAGGGCTAAGGGCGGGGACTTTTGCTATGTTCACCACCTAACTAGGCTAAATAAAGTCCCGAGGTCAGAAATTGTGTTCCACGGATTTCTCTCTACACAGTCGTTAAGGCATTCATTGACTGGACTATCTGTGCAAGATTTTAAATATTGAAATTTTAACTCATCGGATTTGTCTGATATTTGGGAAATATACACTGTATCATGAGTAGAGTCTTATTTTAAAAGGATGCCAACGATCTAAAAGTCAACCTGTATTTATAGAAATACTTCCTCTTTCAGTTAAAATTGCATTGTAAGCATTCTTCCCACATTAAATTCTGCAAGAACACTTAATTGTCTACGATAAA